TACCATAAGTTATTTGGTACATGCATGTTAGAATTACCATGTTTATCACTTGAATTCATGTTTTTGAGAAGGAATTTCTTACATGCATGGAGCTTATGAGCTCAATTTGCTAGTTTCATGAGTTTTGAAGAAAAGAGTTTGAAAGATTTCACATGCATGTTTTGCTTCTTGAATTTCAAGATGAATTGTGAACTTTTGGCAAACTCTTTGGCCATGATTTTATGAAATGATCCTTAATTCTTCATATTTTACAAGTTTACTATGTTATTCTCAAGTTTTGGGGCCCAAGAGATGTGTTTTGAAGAGTTGAATTCAAGTTTTGAGCTTGGTGATCAAATCTGAAAATTTCAGAATTTGCATCTACGCAGTTCAGACGCTCGAGGGACCACTCTGAGTCGCGCACTTCCGCTCGCGCGACCATAAGTTCGCTCGAGCGTGAAATGCAAGCTCCCAGAAGTTTCATATCTTTGCAGATCGCTCGAGCGAAGGAAACGAGCTCGAGCGACCACTCACATTTTGCATGTCCCGCTCAGTGAGGGAAAGCTACGCTCGAGCAGGGACCCTGTTTTCAAAAATTTGACTAAGTGTTTTCAATTCACGTTATGGCATCCTCATTGCATCTTAGGCATTCCTAAGCCTTAATTAAGCATAGTGATGAGGTTTTGGTATAGAAACACACTAAGAAAGTATGTACTAATTAAGAAATTGCAAGTGTGTTTGTGTGTGTTTAAGCATTGTGATAAGAAAGAACGAGAACCAATGTAATGAAAGATAAGCCGTGATGGCCACCACGAATGCGTAATGGTAAGATATGTTGGTGTTATGTACTTTTGTGCTTGTAGGTCAACGTCTGGAGATTGATTGACCATTTGCGAGAACCATTGTGAGTAACATCTCTGTAAAGATATGTTGATATGAACTATGTTTCAACTGTTATGCAATAAGTTATAATTTCTGAAATGATATTGTTTACGTGAACAAATGTCCTATGTTTGGAATCTATTATGCATCCATAGATAGTCCCAAGTTATGGGGATGGCATGTAAATGCGGGTCCATGACATACATGTGATTACGAGATCTCGTTAGCCATTTCATTGTGGTGATATGTGTTTAATCGTATCCGGAACCGATTACTCTAGTCGGAAGACGATATGTGATGTGTTTTCATGGGATGTACCATTATTATGTTCAGATACAAGAATGTTGATGCTATGATCTGTTTATGCTATGACATGTTTGGATTTCGTTCACTAACCTCTTTGCATTGATGTTATTCACTGGGCCTTAGCTCACTGTGTGTATATATATGTATAGGTGGGGATTCTGGAGATCGAGCCTGAAGGCTTTTGTCTGGATCTGTGTTCTGTTGTCAGCCAACCATTGTGCCTCACATGGAGGTTCCCGAAGTGTCTCATGTGTTAAAGTTCCGGTGTTTCCGTATATGAAACTTGTTTGTTTTGTTGGCTGTACTTGAGATACTTTAATGTGTGTGGGTATAATGTATGAATGACTATTGAACACAACATACATACAATTAAACACACACATTTCTCATTCAACGTAAAATTACAAAAAGTCAATCTGTCCAATGAATCAGTCTCAATTTGTACCCATTCTAAAAAACACAATTCAAGAATTACATCCAAATAAACAAACAAATAATCACGCACGCATATATATATATATGAATTTGAGTTACCAGAATCGGAATCGAAGAGTCTGCGGAGCTTAAAGAATGCAAAATCGGACTCTAGAAGGTAGGGTTTCGACTTTCGCACTCAATTGGCGACCGATTGATCGAGCGATAATCGAGAGATTCGCCATTTTCAACAACTCCTAATTGAAATTGTTCGCTATGTTTTCGGCCAATTTGTGAGAAGAATGAAGCTAAACGGGGTTGAAGAGGCCGTTCAGGTGCCCCTATTTACGCACCACATTTGGTGTTAAGGCACACCATTACTTAGTTTACACCTTTAATGATTTGAAAAAACATACAGCTTGGTTCTGGTTTTTAGAAAATTCTACTTTTTTATTTTTCGTATTTTAATATTTTCAATGAATTTTTTTAATTTTTTAGCAATTTTTTTTTTTAATTTTTAGACACACCTAACATAAATACACTTAAAAAGTATAATATTTGTGAAAGATATTTTTAAAAATTAAAAATACACAAAAATACGAAAATTGTACTGAATTTTTATTTTTATTTTTTTTGTATTTTTTGGTATTTAGTGTATTTTTTAAAGATTTTTTTCATAAATAATATATTTTTTAAGTGTATTTATGTTAGGTGTGTCTAAAAATTAAAAAAAATTGTTTAAAATATTAAAAATATTCATTGAAAACATTAAAATACGGAAAATAAAAAAATAAAATTTTCTGAAAAACTGTTTTCTAAAAATCAAAACCAAACAAGTTGTATGTTTTTTCAAATTATTAAAGGTATGAATTGAGTAGTGGTGTGCCTTAAGACCAAATGTGGTGTGTAAATAGAGTCACCCGGCCGTTCAGTATCGAGACGTGGTTGGGATGGCAAATTATACTTTGGCCCTTTATGTTTGATCGTTTTTCTATTTTGACTCTTAAATTATTTTATTTTTTTCTTACTTTGGCCTTCTATATTTTAATTTTTTTTAATTTACTTTTAAAATTAACTTATGTATAAAATTAGATAGAAATTAGCACATTGATAGTTACTATATAACTCACATCTCTTACCAAACTTAAATTTTAATATAATATATATGTTTTATGTTATTTAGCAGTTAACGTGACATTTTCTATCTAATTTGTAAGGAAAGTTAACTTGAGAGTAAATTAGGAAAAATTTAGAACATGAAAGGCTAAACTGTGAAAAAAAAATTCAAAAGTTAAGTGATAAAATGGCCAAATATAAAGAAAACAAAGTGTAATTTTCCGTTGATTTGAAGTTGGATAGTCTAACATGAGAAAATGACCGAACATAAAGAGAATAAAGTGTAATTTTCGCTCGTTCGAAGTTGGATGGTCCACTTTGCCAACAAGGCTAATGCGGTTGAGGAAACCGTTATTAGTAAGCTCACAGGGTATATCATATTTGATACATACCAAATTATCATACTTGGCATATTAATGCCTAATTACATTATCTCAGATGATAAGTCTTGCTATTATTGAAAAAGACATTAGCACTAGTATGTTGTGGAATTGAAATAAAATATTAACAATAAAACACAAAATACAATTAATTTAAAATTGTGAATCTCATATTGAAAAAATACATTACCTCCACTTAAAGTTGTGAATCTCATTATTTTAAATTAATTAAAATTTTAAAATTTGTTCACACAAAATCAGACTTGTAATTGTGAGACTTACCAAACAATGGAATTAATGTCAATTTATACACCATATCGTTATCATATAATGATACTTACAAAATATAAATACCACAACATTATTGGTGATCACTTACCCTATATTTGTTGCGAGCTAAAAATATGGGATTAAGTTCATAATTAAAGGGTATGCATGTTTCATAGATTAACTAGGTTTTTTTTTTTTTTTCATGGATTAACTAGTTACTTGCAAAGCTAATCTATTTGTTTGGCTAAAACATTTGTATCTTAATATGAGATCAATGATTCAAATTTTTCTACTTGCAAGTAGGTTTATCTTATTCCTATTTACTGAGATTTCTCTCCACAAGTTCACATATGGAAACAAAGTTTGTCTCAAAACCAAATGAAGAAATTATGATTATTCAAGTAGTAACTTCATTTACATTGCTACATTGCCTAATAGTATCTTGTTGATCAGAATAAATCAAACAGCATAATGAATTATTGCAAGCATACAAGGAATATCAGACCACGACTTCACAACATAGAATTTCACTATCTGGATTTAAAAACTATAAAATAGTACTGTCCTAACTTAATCCAAGCTTCTGTTTCTCCAGCAGAAGCTTTCATACCCGATGTACCCATTTTTCAAGTCGAAGTTGCTTCAAAGGAGGTCCAAGATTCGGCTTACTCTGCTGGGGACAATTCCATTTTCCAGTGATTCCCGAAGAAACAACAGTGTTTTGGAAATTGGTTGTTTCTGATAATGGCTTTCTTCTTCGAATAGCTTCCTTGTCAACAACTGATGAATCCGTCGCTTTACTTCTCAACCGATCAAATTGATCCTCCATCAACCTTTTCAAAGAACTGTCATCATTTGGCCTTGATCTTCTGTTATTCCTCGTTGAAATGAAACCATTTTCTGCAAACATATTTCCATCATTTTCTTTGTCGTTGCTTCCACAAGTTGGTTTTCTTATTGAATTTCCATTAACTTCAATCAAATCCAAAACCTGTGCAAAAACCCCATGTTTTTCTGTCTGAGCAGGGTTCTTATCTACAGAATCCCTCGAATGAGTCAACATTTTCTGAGATAAACTGTTGTTCCTGCCTGAACTTCTATTGGTATTCAATGACATGATATCTGCTTCTCTGTTCTCTCCTTGACCATCTAAGTCTGATTTTTCAACATTTTGGGTTGAATCAACATTATGTTTTCTTGTTGGTTTTCCTTCCAATACTTGTTCAGAAATCATTTTGACAGGCAAGTCATTGATAGATGACGTTTTGTTCCCTTTGACAGCGTTGATGTCCTGAAAGTTACAAAGAATAAACATATGTTAACTACAAACAACAAACGTTTTGTTCCCTTCTTTTCCAAAATTGTGAGCATTTCTGATTGTGGAAGAATTAGCTTCTGCCAATGATCAATTATCTGATAAATAAGTTACCTTCAACAATTCTCAATTAGTTGTTTATAGCCATAACAATTCAAGTCCAGAATGTTTGTTGAGAGAGAGAGGGAGAGAGAGCAATGCTCTTTTCCTTTACTTCCTACCCAACCAAACAGAAGTGACAAGTGAGGAATCCATCTTCCCTTCCCTGAGGATCTACTTTCCTTCTGTCTGCCGTTTGCTTCTCTCTTAATTTTTCTCCTTAGGCCATCTCCAATCCTAATCAAATCAGATATCAAATTCAAATTTGATGAAAGAAGGAAGAGAACCCAGCTCCAATCGTTTCATCAACTAGATATCAAATAAAGGGAGAGTAACTTTTTTCATCCAATCAAGGGAGCTTTATCCTTTCATTAAATTTGTAGGTAACCGTTGGGCCAGACGTCCTTCGGAACAACTGAATTTTGGGATGAATTAGGTATTTTTTACTCTTCACCGGACGACCCGCAAGACGACTGGCCGGATGACTAGCCGAATTAATGAAAACGTTGGGAGCATAATCAAATCAGATATCAAATTCAAATTTGATAAAAAAGGAAGAGAACCCAGCTCCAATCGTTTCATCAACTAGATATCAAATGAAGGGAGAGTAACTTTTTTCATCCAATCAAGGGAGCTTTATCCTTTCATTAAATTTGTAGGTAACCGTTGGGCCAGACGTCCTTCGGAACAACTGAATTTTGGGATGAATTAGGTATTTTTTACTCTTCACCGGACGACCCGCAAGACAGCTGGCCGGATGACTAGCCGAATTAATGAAAACGTTGGGAGCACATTTTCATCAAATTTGATGAAGCGTTGGAGATGCTCTTACTAGACAAGTGCAACTGAGTCAAGCCACATAAACAAACCATAGCCTAAAACTCAGAAGCAATAGACAGAGTGGTAAGGTTGCAGTTACCTGTTCAAGCTTCAAAATTTAAGCTTTCATGAAACAATTAAGAGTTGTGATTTTGCCATTAGTTGTTTTAGAATTTTTTCTAGCTATAAACAACAATCAGAATTACTATCCCAATGAAAATAGTGAGAACAAAAAACACTACAAAAAAGATGAACTAGAGTACCTTCCTATTATACCGGTGGTGGTCATACTCGTTGTCCCTATCAGAGCTGTTACATTTCATAATGCCATTTGAAGATATCTTCTCATCAGCAGCCAATAGATCCCTTTTAGTAATTCTTCTAAACTCCGTCAAATTCTCTCCTTTTTCTTTGCTGCAGTTTTCAGCATTACACCCCACCCTGTCACATTCACTTTCTGTAAAAATAGAACCTTTGAAATCATCACTTGTATCCAATACTGGAGATTCATACGCATAGCTTGAAAACCATCTTGTAATGTCTGGAGGCTCTGGAAGAGTACAAAATTACAATCACAATTTAAAATTTGTTAAGACTGATTAATTCCCTATTATTTTGTCATGTAAAATAAAAGAAGAAAAGATGACTTGGAATCTTAAACAGCCATTCCAAGCTCAACCCAAGATAAGATTCCAACTTTCTTTTTTTCTTCTTTTCCTGCAATTTATCAGGGACCAAATGAGGCTTATATGGAACTTGAAAGAATTTCTGGAAGAGTCGATACAAACCTGAAGAAAGTGAGAGGGAATCTGAAGAACCCAGAACCTATAACAACGAAGAAATTAAGTGTAAGGTTTTGAAACTTTAAAGCTCACTTTTGTACAAATAGCATGGGAAGAAAATAAAATTTTGTATAGTTAGTAAGTCACTGAAGTTTCGAATCTCACAACAGGCACATTAATATAAGGTACTGAGTTTTCATTTCTTTAGCCTTCATATTAAGCAAATAGAAAATAAATGCTACAGTAGTCAGAAGATTGATTATTGTAGAAAGAAAGAGCTGATGACTGAGAATGAAGCTATTAATGAGAGAAAATCACAGGGATTGGGGGGCGTATAAGTTGTAGTGTTCTGCATCTGGTTGGGAAGACTAAATAATGACTAAGAGCATTAGAGATATCATACATTTTCCAATAACCCAAGTAATAAATAAATACAGCCAAGTTGCTTCAATAAGTGCGAAAACTTAACAAGAAAAAGAGGGAGTTTGGTAAGCTTCTATTATCTGTTCAGCATTTGACCGATGATCTAAATCTTTTAAATACCTAATTGCATTCAAATTGAAGGCAATGTACATTTCTCACAAACACTGGTAATCCCCTAGCCTCAACAAGGTCAATGATATTCTTATAATTTCATGTGAGCTTTGGACATATCTCATGATGAATATAATTTAAAAGAAAACAAATTAGGAAGGAAAAAAAAAGTATACAATTTGGTGTGAGCTTGTGAGATAATAAGATCACAATTCTAAGTTAAATATAACAAAAAAGGGTGCCAAAGAAGCAAAATATTCAATCTTTGGCTTCAAGACAACATCCACAGCTGAAGGTGCATGCAAATTCAATATAGAGGTGAAGCAGATTAAAGATGGCTACTTTTGAAGTCTCAAACCATGAAACTCTCAGTCTCTCACACAATGAGTTTAAAGAACCATAAATTAGCCCAAATATATTGGGTTGTGCAAACAAATGAGAAACCAAGAGTAGAACAATAGATGGTGAGTAACCTAAACAACAATTAATTCAAATCCTTAAAACTACAAATGTGGCCAACATTTTTAGCACATCCATGATCTTATAACAATTGAATCACATATAATCTAATCAAATGCCAGCCAAATTCCTTAAATTAGACTGATCATCACAAAAACTAATTGAAACATACTGAAAATTTTCGACTCAAAAAAAACAAAGGCATAAATGGGAGAGGGGGGGTAGCTGATCAAGAAGAGTACCTGACTCGCGTTCTTGTTTCCCTGATTATGACATTCAGCAGCGTTGTTAGATCTCACAAACCCAATTGGAGCTATTTTCTCACCAAGAACTAATTCATCCTTGTTTCTAATTTTCCTAAATACCCCCAAATTCTCTTCCATTTCTTTGCTCTTTTGTTCACAGTTAAACCCCTCTTCCACAAATTCACTTCTTCTAAAAGGATAGCCTTCGAAATCATCGCCTGTATTGAATTCCGGAGACTCATACACATAGCTTGAGAACCAGTTTCTGATGTCAGGAGGCTCTAATAAACCAAAAAACAAATGAATCAAACTCGAAATCTTCTAAATAAAATGATTTCCTAGCTGGAAAAAAGGTGAAGAAATTTATCAATAAAATGCCAAGATTTCACCTTTCTTTTCTTTAGGTTTTCTGATCAAACAAACAGGGCTTATGATTCACTATAAACCTAAGGTTGTGCTTGGATCACGGATTTGGGTAAAGATTTGAGAAGAGAAAAAGTGGGTGAAATATAAAATGAAATATAGTTACATTTCACATACCTTTTCCCTTTCTTTTTCTAAATCTCAACTCAAATTTATAATCCAAACACAATCTAAGTCGTCTTTTGAAAGAAGAAACACGTACCAGAAGGAAATGAAAGCGAGCTCGCAGTACCCAGAACCTGCAAACGATAGCTTTTTTGTTATAAGTTTCAATGCTCTCTTTGGTTGCTGAGAAAAAGGAAAGGCAAACTTGGAACATACAAAGGATTTTCATTTCTAGGCAACCAAACAGAAGGAAAAATTACAATTACCTCAGAATTTGAAAATTGGGTATCTGGGTTTGAATGTTTAGCCATCTTTCTCTCTCTGTAAACGAATTTTCTCTCGCAGCATTTGTTCTCTCTCTCTCTCTCCAGGGTTTCATAGAAAGATGAGAGGTTTTTGTGTAATTTTTCAAATCTCGCGGGTATCGTTGGCGCCAAAAGCACCTTGAAAACTTCAATACTGGGAGGAAAGAAAGCGTAAAAATTACATTTTAGATAAATAGTACTATTTTGGATAAAATTGGGAATTATAAATATATGGAGGTGCAAGTGTATTTGTGTTAGAATGCAAATGAAAAGTTGTGGAGTTATGAATGTGTTGATAATTTTTTTCACCTTTTCCCACCTATATGTAATTTCCTTATAAAATTGAAGAAAAATCATTGATAAGTGGGGGCCAAAAATTTTATTTACAAGAAAAAATGATAAACATTATAAATATTAATAATTAAAATTATAAATTTTTTCACTTATTTGTAAATACATTTTTTCTGTTCCACTTATCATTGATTTCTCCTAAAATTTACCCTCTTGTAATTATTGTAATTATACTTGAACCTCTTGCATATCATAGTATGACACTTAGACTGTATTTGATTCATAGATTTAAATAGGACTGTGTAAAATACTATCCAATCCGCTAAAATCGCACCGATTCGCATTAATCCGCACCGCTAATCATGATTTAAACTTTAAAATTTATAATCCGCCAACCGAGTCGCTCCGCTCCACTACTCAAATCATGATTCAAAAATTAAACCAAATGAAATTATATGCATTTCGGATTAGGTCTCCATGGATAACCACTTAATAGGGTCTCTATTGCCATCTCTAGACCCAAAACACTTTAACACCGTTCCATCATTTTTCAGTCAATAATTAACAATTAAAAAAAAAAAGATCTACTAAGTATCATGTGCCAATTATATCATAGTATGACACTTAGACTGTATTTGGTTCATAGATTTAAATAGGACTGTATAAAATACTGTCCAATCCGCTAAAATCGCACCGATTCGCATTAATCCGCACCGCTAATCATGATTTAAACTTTAAAATTTATAATCCGCCAACCGAGTCGCTCCGCTCCACTACTCAAATCATGATTCAAAAATTAAACCAAATGAAATTATATGCATTTCGGATTAGGTCTCCATGGATAACCACTTAATAGGGTCTCTATTGCCATCTCTAGACCCAAAACACTTTAACACCGTTCCATCATTTTTCAGTCAATAATTAACAATTAAAAAAAAAAAGATCTACTAAGTATCATGTGCCAATTTATATTTTACATTTTTAGCCCTCGTTTGGGAAGAAAAAGTTTAGGGCATTTTGGCTAAAATAACCACAATAAAACAAAATAGACTAAAAAATCAATAAAATAAAATGTCACATCCAAACTATAATTATTTCATTTTTTCTTTCACAAAACTCAAAAAATCCAAAAAAATCCATTATAAACAATACTTTTTAACCTCAAGCTAAAATAGTCAAAAAGTCAAAAAGCCAACCCACATCCCAAACAAACTGATATCTTCTACTAGTTGGGTCTCTAATCTCTTTATTTTTCTCTCTCTTTTATATATGGTATATTTTGAGCAATCCTTTTAGATCATTTTCATAACCACCATTATCTCAAGATACTAGAGGATTAATGACTGAGAAAAATTAAGTACACAGAAAGGGTATACAGAATAGGTCACAAACAAGACACAATGGTGGGTTTTGCTTGTGTGGGACCCACATGTGGGACTCATCCTTTGTGTTTTGCCCGTGACCCATCCTGTGCACCATTTATGCAATGATGGATTTGGGGGGGCTAGGGGGTGGCCGTACCCCTAAAAATTTGAAAAATATCATATATTATATTAAAAATTTTAAAATTATAAGAGTTCGCACCTCTAAATTTTTTTTAGATAATTTCAAAATTATATACAGTAGCCTCCCAATTTTTTAAACTACAAAGTAGCCCTCCAAAATTGTAATCTTGGATCCGTCCTTGCATTTATGTGTTTGTAGCAAAGCTCTAATGAATTTCTATCTCTAATAATCCTTTTAGATATTTTCCATATCCACGGTTATCTTTACCGATATTCATAAGTCCCATACTATAATCTCCTACATCCGAAAATGCTATAATGTATTTGTACATTGTAAGAAAAGTTACGATTTTCGTAATAAAAATTAAGAATTTTTTGTGATAAAAGTTACAATTTTTGTGACGAAAATTATGAGTGGTGAAATTACGATGTGCACTTAAAAGTTACGTACAATTAAAGTTATACTTTTTTTGATAAAGTTTATGCATTTTGTGAGAAACAAAATGTTATAGTTTTTGCGAATAAAAAAAGTTATATTTTCTTTAACAAAAGTTATAGATTTTGTGATAAAATTTATAATTTTTTATATAAGGTGCATACTATATGCACTCAAAAATAGTGCATATGATATGGTAGCTTTTCCCCTCATTTTTAGTTTTGGTTTAAATTGACACAGGTAGTTTTTTCCATCTAAACTCACAAACACAATTTTTTTAGAGTAGGTCTGGTTTTTGAAAAAATAAAGTGAAATTAATAAAATAAAATAAAAAGGCAATTTTATCTCTATGTTCTCCGAATTTAAAATTATATTAAAATGTTATTAAAAATAAATTAAATTAAAATATAATTAAAGATTAAAAATATATATATATATATATAATTAAAAAAATTAAATTAAGATACTAGAAATTACAATAAATAATTAAAAATTTAGAATTGATTGTAATCTGGAACAGTTGAAGTGCGCCTACACCGTTAACAAGAAGTGTTTATTTCTAGTTCAAAAATAAAAAATAAAAAATAAATGTTTATTTTAGTAAAAAGTAAACAAACATTGCCTATTAAAGTGTCAACGACATTTACAATTCTTATCTTCGAAGCAAGTTAAGCAGTATCTTTAAAGCGAGTTAAGCATTAAGATTAAGTTTGTGAAGACTAAATAAGTGTACTTTTTAACTTTTTTTTGTATTATGTATAAAAAAAGTAGAGAGGAGATGTTAATTGATGTGACCCAAAAAAGATAAAAAGATGAAATAAGTGCACTTTTTTAGTTTAGCCAAACTTGACCTAAGTTTAAACATTAGGAAGACAATTTGTAAGAGTCATAATTAAATTTTAAACATTAGGAAGACAATTTGTAAGAGTCATAATTAAAGGAGGGAATTTACTAAAGTTTCCCCTTCCCTTTTATTTATTTAATTCTAATTGAGAATTACATTGAGAGCTTCATTCATGCTATTATTGAAACACAATTCATAGCAAAGAGTATCTATTCACTTTAAAACTTGAAACAAACATCTAAAGTAAAGTTGAAAGTCCATTATCGGGAGGTGGAGAATGTCCGACGCAAAGGCTATTTGTGACAACCCTCACCACTGATTAGTGCTAAACTATGATTAAGCATGTTAAGTAACTGATTGACCAAAATTCTGAACAGATTGATTGAGTGTATTAGTTTAATTGCAATCTATCTATTGACTGCTAAATGATCTGTTTATGTTTTATGTTTTAAACTGCAAATTGAAGGCCTTATCAGCGGCTGAATCTGGAATTGATTAGTGTTTTATGCTAATTAGAATTTATGTGATTTTATGACATGTTTAATTGAAATTTGATTTGGTATGATTAAATTGGATTAAATAATGTTAAATTACATTAGTTTGAATAAAGTACCATTTTGCCACTTAGTGGGCCACTTACAAAGGCACCTTGAGACTTATTCAAACACATTTCCTTAGCCATTTGAGACCCATAACCGAGTGAGAGAGAGAGAGAGACTTGAGAGAGAGTTGCTTCATCTAGAGAAACTCTTGGAGAATTGGAAGAATTGAAGTGTAGATTGCATAATTGAGCTTTTAGACTTGAAATTGAGGACCTAAGGTAGGAGAATCATCCTCTTGAACTTGTATTTAAGTTGTATCTTCCATGTTTCATGAGCCTTTAGTGATTAGAGTCTAGAATTGGTTCTAAATGTTGAATTGAAGCTTAAATCATGCATGCATGTACATGTTCTAACATTTTGAGGTTGTTTTCATGGAAATTGCTACATGCATGTCCATATCTTGATTATAGTTCATGAATTCATCATGTGTTTTTAAAGGATTGGCTCATTTGTTCTTGTATTAGAAGCTTTGAAGTTGATTAAATTCATGCATGCTGCATGTTCATCATGTTCTTGAAGTTTTGTTTGGAAATGGGTTCAATTGAACTACCTTTGGGCTTTGATTTTGCGAATTGATCTTTGAAACATGTCATATTATGAGTTTTAAAGTGTTTTTCAGAAAAATAGTCCAAAAGGATCGAATTTGATGCTTTAAATGTTGAGTTTCATGCTTGGAGGCAAATTTGAAAATTCCAGATTTTGGATCCACGCTCGAGAGAGGAACTCTACGCTCGAGCGTACACTATGAGTTCATGCAGTCCGCTCGAGCGAGTAAAGTAACGTTCGAGCGTGAAATGCGTGTATCCAGTACTTTGCATGCGTTTACAGTTCGCTCGAGCGAGGGAATGCACGCTCGAGTGAGGACTTGTGTCTCACGCTCGAGCGGGGGTCGAGTGCCCGTCGAGCGTGAATTTCATGCATCCACTACTTTTACAGTCCGCTCGAGCGAGGAAAGTCACGCTCGAGCGGAGCTCCTTTGTCTGCATGTCTGCTCGAGCGTAGAAAGCCATGCTCGAGCGAGACCACTATTTTCTAAAAAATTTGAAAAGTGTTTTAAAGTGCATCTTTGCATCCTCATTCCATCCTAGGCATTCCTAAGCCTAGTTTAAGGCATCTTAATGAGGATAATGCTATAAAACCACACCGAGTCAAGTTAGGGACTAAGTTATTGTTTCCCAAACGTGCAAGTTAGTGTGTGTTCATCCTGTAACTGTGTAGGGTTGGCATCCGAGGACGCTCACTAGCCTATCTGTAGCTTAGAACTCTGTGAATAACAATGTTGTAAAGATATATTCAATCATGAATATTTTCTGAATGATCAACTGTACTGCTTTTTGAAATGATATTTCTTACTGAATGAATGCTTGTCCTAATTGCGAACTGTATTCGTGGCATCCATAGCAATTTACTGTTACTGTACTTTACTGCTACTGTCACAAAGATCTCTGTCGGTTCCCAT